TGTAACCCATCCATCTCTTTTGTTTATAAGTTTTTAAGATTTTCTAAATAATTTAAGAAGCCTTTGAAATTAGAGTTAAGACAGAGAAGCATTATGACGCTAAATAACGTCTTCTAAAGAGGACGGGGGAACATTTCAGAGGCAGAGGCAGATTTTTGTTGATGTTATATTCTAACTATATTGCCTTACTTCCATGCTGTGATAATAAAAATTATTTTTTTTTGTGTTTTTTTTTTGCTGGATTGTTGAGTTTTCATCTTTTCCTCTTTGACCTTCCCAATTTCTACCAGCTCTACTGATAATAAAAGGTTTTTCTTACCCTGACTACAATGAAAAGCTCATTATTTATCATTAACACCGACTGTAGATCAGAGGCAGTGATCTGATCAGTGTTTCCCAACAAGACTTTGACCTTAAGGTCGATGAGGTCAGGATAAAACCACAGACAGCTCCTTCTGTTCAAGCCGAATGGCTGCCATCTTCTGCTGACACATACTAAACAACATTCTAAGTATTTGTGCCTTATGCCGAACTGATCCAACACCACGTGTGTCAAACAGCTGCATTGCCCCGCAGCAGATGCATGTTTAAGGGAGACAGGCTTGTATTCTCAGGAGGACTGTCGGCCTTACATGCTGGTGTTGGATTTTGCTGTGTTTGCCTCTAATTGAGTCGTTGTGAGAGACAAACTCTCTGACAGTCCACTTCTGTTTCTCCGGTTTCCTTCGGAAATCTCTACGGACAAAAAAGAGCCGCGGTGCAGTGCTGCTGCCAAACAGGGACACAAACACACATGCAGTAACGCAGAGACTCGCACAAGGGATTGCATTGCAATTCAGATGCCAAGAAACTACTAACTCCTAAAGCATATGTGCTGCAATCACATGTGTTTCAAAGGGACCCCAGTTTAGTTTAGCTTTGGAAGCAAAACACTTGAAAACTATATAAAGTTACTGGAAACTACAGATCAATAGGGACATTTGAGTGACAAAAATCAAAATGTACAAACTCAACTAAAATCAGAAACAGAGAAGTTTTTTTTCAGTTTTATCTGACCTTCAAATTATCCAAAAGAATTAGAACTGTTCAGAGTTCAGGCTCAGAAATGAGAAGCTAACAAGCAACTTGCAAGGGTTAGGTTCATCATTTGAACAGAGGGAAGATGTATGTTTAATACAAAATACAACAATAACCTAAACCTGACGTTTTGTTTTCAACCAGTATTCTTAAAGGAATAGTACACCCAAAACATGATTAGCCTTCATTTTCTACTCACCCCCATGCTGAACAACACTCTGGAGTACTTTTTTGATATCTCAAATGCATCTGGAGATCTGGGAGGCTTCTTGCTGTCTGCTGACATTCAAATAATGGAGGTCTATGGCGCCCGAGGCAGAAAGGTCCATAAAAGTCCACAAAAAACGTGTCAATATTCCTCCATACTGCTCGTCCAATGTATTCCAAGTGTCCTGAGTGGGTAGCGTCCATAATTTACTCGAAACGAAGTCATTTAGAATGTTTTTAGAGCATAAACAGTAGTGTATAGGATTTCCTGAAAGCGCGTTCACGAGTCTACGGAAACCGCGGCAGACCAAACCAGACGAAAGTGCGCATTCAGCTCGGCAAAGAACTCATGCTCTTCCTCAACACTGAAGTCCTCAGACATTTTTCTTTCGTTGTTTCTTTCTTTGCACAGGTAAACAGCACATTTCTTCTTCTACGCTTGCATTATCGGCAGAGCAGACGCTGCGAACATTAGCTTGGCTTGTGAGGAACAGTCCCGCCTCTATTCCAACCAGCAGGGAGTCACCTGCAGGCAGGTAGCAACTTTCTACCTATGGTGTAACAGACCCGGAAACAAAGGAAAAAACAAACCATGGCTAACTGTGATGTTGCTAACCCTACATCCACCATAACACGCATACGAACAATTGAAATTCTGGTGTGTATCCTTGCTAGAAAAAAGCTGTCTGAATGAGTTTTATCTAATTTGTCTTTTCCTAAAAGCGATTAAACACGAATCTGAAGACCGTTTTAGAAGGACTGCAGGTGTAAAAACACCAGTTATGACTCTTTTAACAAAGCAATAAGAGCAAACCTTGTTCTCAGTCACTTGTCTTCTAATTTATGATGAAGGTTCTTGTCACCACCACCAGCAATGAGAAATACATGTGGGTGTCATGATTTTTGCACTGATTTCTGGTCTGATTACTCATTTCACACACATGCTTTGCTCCGCCCAGTTCTTATAACTCACTCATATGATCCACCTGCATTAGTCTTGATTTAACTAGCCCTCAGACCAGTCATCAATGCCAATTTATTTTGGAACCATTGGTGAGAATTATTCTTGCGTTCCTGTATTCTGATAACCTGATCCTGACCTGTTCTGCCTCTCGACCTCTGAGCCTGCCTATGCCCCTTCTGATCAGTTTGCCTGACCTGTCTTCTGACTCCTGCTGAATATCTGCCTGTTTGCGTAGCGACATGGAACTGAGACACGATTCCGTCCTGGATTGTGTGCTGAAACATGCAGAAATTTCTGGATCTGAAACATTTTCATCATTTCATTACTTCCTGATCAAATTGGTAGAAAAATAATCCCAAAGAAACGGCTCACTGTTCTGCATGTGCGTTAAGCGCAGTTTTGATCAAGGTTCTTGTCTGTTTCTGGCTCAGTTTGTCTTTGGGCTCGTTGTAGTTCCTAGTGTCATGTAAAATAGACCAAGTGGTCCTTTAAATGAGAAATTTATGTTTGGATTTCGTTGATTTGAAAGAATACATCTTCTTGTTGATAAGTGAATCCAATGCATGACATATGTTTTTAATCTTGCACTCTGGTTCAGTGTTTTAGTGCTGCAGATCCAGGTGATTTGTTGGCTTACTGGAAAGGTTAAAAAAAACATTAAACAACAGTTTATCTCACCGGTTTCTTCTTTCATCCTGAATTATTACTTCATCAAATGAGGACATTGAGTCGTGAAAGATGGCAGAAGTAAACTACAATAAATCTGCTTCTTGCTCGTCACTGATTATGTTAAAGATTGTGAAAACCTGTCATTTTATTCTGAGGCTTATAACCAAGATAGAACAGCAAATATGAAATTTTCAGCCCAACCAGTGTTAAACACCCTATTCAGAGACGTTAAGGACCAGCACTGGATACCCTATATAATCATTCTTTTACCCGTTTAAGGTTATTTTGTTTACCCAATCCTTCTTATTAATCATATAAACTAAGTTTAAATCCTTTTCTTTTGTAATGCATCTTGAGTTGACATTTAATATGGATTTAAATACCATTCTTGGACTGTGTGGCCTGAACCAACCATGGCGACGTGATAAACACCTGCTGTCATCCGTGCTCACCTGTGTGATGCCGCCAGATGCTGTGCAGAGCTGCATCATGCTCAGCTGCAACACACACTGCTTCAGCAACTGGACCTGCGCGATAACTCGTCCAGATTAAAACCTTCCTGTGGAGGAACCAGCGTGCTCATTTTCAGGCTTACATACCGTGCAAATGTAAAGCCTGCCGTGCTAATCTGACTGGCTAAATGCCGTTTCCTCTGGCAGATGGTTAACCTTTCAGTGTGACCCTGTGCAGTTAGCGGTTAGCCTGACCACTGCCTCTCTGAGCTAATTTAAACCCCAGCAGTTGTTGGTGGCAGTTGTTAATATCTGATCTCTGATCGGTTGGTTGAACGCAGACGGCTGGCCTATAAATACCGTCTGCTAGTTTATGCTAAACTCTAACCTAAGACTTGACCATGTTGCATAAAACTGAACCTGAAGCTCATCATTAAGCTGCTCCTTAAACTATTAAAAGTCTGATTCCTATTTAGTGATGGATAATGTGGCACAGTAATGTTACTGAGCCTAGATCTGTGCTGCAGTCTTGAATTCACTGTCACGAGATCATCCTGCTGATGTTGGTTCACGTGTCGGCACCAGAAGCATCTGACTCTGCCCTCCGCTTCAGAGCTGCTGGTTGGATCCCAAACGGTCGCTCTCATCAGTAAGCAGTAAAAGAACGGAAGAAAAACCTGCACTTAGTGGATGAAACGTATTAACATCTTTCCTTTTCTTTAAACCAACCATTTTCAGTTCCACCCAGTGTTCCCAGCAGGCCTAACTGGTGAACATCCTGCTCTTTAAAGTTAAGGCTCTGAAATTATTTTAAACAAAGACCTCAGTAAATATCAAACTGTCGTCTTTGCAAAGACTGAAACAGAAGTACAAGAGGATTTTAACTTTCCTGGTTGAAAAATTTTAATTTTCTTTAGTTTATTAAAGAAAACTGTAACAAAAATTTAGATTAAAAAAGCAAATAAGGCAAAAGTTTCTGTGAAATCTGTTCTCCAATTTGGAAGGTCAGACATTTTCCACCGACTTTAAAATCTATTCTGGTTTATTTTGTTTTTTTTGGAAACAATATGGTAAAAAAAAAAAAAGACATTTCTGCATTTATCTTTGTTTTTTCTTCTTTAGATCTTTAGCTTAAGTTTGCTCAAAGAGAAATTTCTTCTAGTTAGTTTGTGTTGCAGTTTTCTTTTCATTAATTTTACAGTTAATGTGTTTGTATTTTCCACATCTAGGCAAATATATCACAGCATCTTCCACAGACTGGAGTCTAGTTCTCATTTTTCTTTTTTTCATCAGTAGAACAGTTTAACCAGAACTGGTTGTTCCTGGATTAACAGAAAATCATAACCTCCAGGGATGCTTTCAGTCTTCAGTTTTAAGAAGATGTAAAAAACAGCATTAGACAAAGGACGGCTTGCGAGCATAAAGATCTCGATCAGTAGAAAGGTTTTCCAGATGAAAGTGCCCCTTGGAGAGGTTGAGAAGCTGTTTTTAGAAACCACAATCATCGAAAACCCATCCAACAGATCAAGGTTTGACCCCACTGTGTAATCTCAGCTCTCCATGCTGCAGCACACACACAGGTTTCATTTCACACCTCGACGCCATCTGAAATCCAGGATAACAAAGCTTACCTTCTTTGGTTTATTCCACTATAATCCCAATAAACACCTGACTCCCGGCAGGGCGGCTACCTATCAGTCTGTTTTCCAGCCCGTCTTCCTCTCTCTGAGTCCGTCTGCCGTCTTCAGCTTTGCTTCTCTGACTGAAACATGAGAGGTCAGGTAGTGTGTCCTCACACACACACGCACAGCAGCGCACGCACAAACACACACAGGAAGCCACATGCTTATCGGTTACCGGCATGAAAACTTTTAATCATTCCAGTCTGACATGATCTGCTTTTAATTTGCGTCATATAATGTGGCTGGAGGGGGGCGTGCTCACATTTCAACATAAATGTAAAAACATTGACTTGTTATTATCAGTGTAACAGTGGGGTTTACCTGCAAACTTCAGGGTTTTCACAGACAGGTCTACTGAATGTGTGTACAGAAGGATTGGGTAGAAAACCCATCCCTGGGGGGGCACCAGTGCTGCTGGTTCTGGTACTTAAGAAATCCTCATCTGTTGGCTCTCTAATCCAGTGCAGTCCAGCCACGTTATGGCCCTCTACTGTCAAAATAAGGACACTTTTCAGTTGTCTCCTTGGATAATGGTTCTAGACTCAGTTAATTAGACCTAATGCCAGATTGTTCCTTTAGCACTGAAGGAATTATTATTATTTATTTTTTGAACAGCATCCTGTATGGCGATGTGGCAATAGGACTAATTGTCTTGATGCCAAAAAGAGCCCAACATGATTTGCTTTCACAAGTGGAGCAGTACGGCTATCGCCAAAGTGTTCCGCTTGATTTATGCATATAAATAGCTTTATTATAAATCATGCAGGGAGTATTACAGGTTATATGGACACTGCAATGTAAGTAGAACAGGAAAGGAAAAACAGAAAAAAGGAGAAAAGATGAAAGAAAAAGAAGATAAAATGGAGATAACGATAAAACATCTTTAGTCTGCTTCATCACCTGCAAAGAGATGTAAAATAACATTACAACCAACGGGCAAGGTATAAGAGATACAATAAAGCAACACCTTGATACTGTCGCTGAAGTATAAGTGGTATAGTTTAATCTGACATGTATACTGTGGTAGCTCAGGAAAAGAAAATGGGCTTTCTGTATGGAAGTGAATCTCTTAAGTACCTGGAGCCAAGCACCTGTAGTTGTTTGTGAAAGTGCACTTGTGCATGTAAATGCTCAATAGTGGTTGCGACAGTAGAGATATGATCTCTCTTTTTAATTTTCATCACAACTCTGGCTGCAGCATTTTGGATCAGCTGAAGGCTTTTAACTACAGTTTGTGGACTTCCTGATAGTAAAGAATTACAATGGTCCAGCCTTGAAGTAAAAAATGAATAGGTTAGTTTCACAGCATCATCCCTGGACAGGATATTTCTATTTTTGCAATGTTCTGGAGAAGAAAGAAGGAAATTATGGAAACACACTTGCTATTAAGCATAGCTTTGTAAATCCTTTATACTCACCTATGACACAACCTCTTTAACAACATTACAAATGCCTTTGTAACTCTAGCAGTGTCATGAACCAAGGACAGATGGACCCAGTATTCAAGGAGAGACAGTCAGTAGGAAAGTTCAAAAAGTTTATTAAATAAAACAAAAACTAAAGTGGAGCTGTGGCTCGCAGACAACAGCAGGATGGGGAGCGGGCCATCGCCCAATCACAGACACTCTGCAGGAGAAACACAGGTAAGTGACCACGATCATCTGACAGAAGATGACTCTCTGAGTTGGCCACTTACCTGGTTTAACAGTCCAGTCCAAGAATGTCTCCAAGTGCTGCAGTCCCAGAGGTCATGCTGGAAGCCGATCCTGGTCAGGGATCCAGAACAGACAGGAACAGACAGAACAGGCAGGATGCAGATCAGGCAGGAACAGAAACAGGTGGCAGGATCCAGACTTCCAGGCATCCACAGGCTCCCAGGAGGGTTCAGAGTCTGACAGGGTCCGAAAGCATGACCAGGTGGTTATGCATGAGCAGACAGGATCAGGTGCAGCTGAGCAGGCTCAGTGGAAGAGGGTAGCCGAGACAGGACGTGGAACCAGAACTTGATGCAGGACTTTAAACTGGTCTCCTCCCTGGAGCCAGGCTTACTGAGATAAAAACTGAACCTCCCCACATATAGAGCCAAAAACCCAGACGACTCTGGGGGGGAGGAACAATGGACTATCAGGAGACGGGACAAACACAAAAACCCTCTTTCCACTGGCTGCCAGGATCCAGGACATGAACCAAGGCTAAAACTGAATGGACAGACTAACAGAAAGACAATTAATGATCTGGCCCTGAATGCTCAGGCTGAACTGAAGATAGCCAAGAGGAAACAGGTAAGAGGAATAAATTATAATTGAGGCAGGGAGGGAAAACGACAGGTGAAAGGAATTACTAATTGAGGGAGAGCAAACAGGCCAGATCATGACAAGCAGGATGTATTTGAGCATCTCCATCTCAATGTATCTTAAAAAATATAACGTTTCTTTGATTGCCACAGGCAATCTGAAATTTAAATTTGGAACAGTGGTTCTTTTTTTGTACTATGTGTTTTTTGGCATGTTTCGCACTCCACCATCTAACCTACTCCTTGCCTGGCATTTTGCAGTTTACTTGATGATTATGTGAGTGCTGTAAAATTTCTGCTCTTAGCAGTAATAGATTGACAAGTCTTCCTTTTTTTCATGAAGGGAAATTCAGATCTGTCTGACCACAAAGGATTATTTTTAAGGTCAAGCTGACTTTTCTGTGGCCAACCAAAGCTCTTCTCGATGCTAGTTAGTTTTCCTAAAATGTGTGTGACTTGTTGCCATGAGTCATCTGCCTATTTTTCTCTAAGGGCAGCCCTGATACCATTTGGCATTAGGTCAACAGCCAGTGAGTACTCTCCAGTGCTGGGCGCTCAGTTACCAGTCCCTGCCTATCATTAATCAGATCAGTAGCTGCCTTTGGAATGGATATAGCCTCCCTCGCCAAGGAAGTAGCTCACTGTTAGGTGCACAATAGTCTTAATTTGAGCATTCATAATTGGCTATGGCCATAGAGAGTATCACATTATCCGCAGAGGTAGGTTGTGGCAGTGTTTAGATTGACCTAACTAATTTGGGTTGAGCTCTTATACGTTTCTTGCAAACCTTTGCCATAAACCTGACTTTCTTTTCAAATTCACATTTTTCACTTGGAACAAGGGTCTCCTGTAAAACCCTCTTCAACATATGGTGCAGTCTTAGGGCATGCTCCTGTTTGTTTCTGTTATATACTAGAATATCATCTGCATGACAGATCATTCCTTCAAAGTCCTCCAGCATCTGAGACATCCTCCTCTGAAAATGTTCCAATGCTGATGTTTTGCCAAAAGGGAGTCAGTTGAATTGATATCTCTCAAAGGAGGTAATGAAGGTGGCTTTTTCAGGTTTTGAGAAGACAGCTATTCCTGAACACCATGCTGTTGACTGTGTTACTTTTAAAATCATGCCAATCTCTTCTCACAGGCAGAGAGATCCATCAATAGACAGAGAGGGCAGCCGGTATTGCTCTCTATCCAATCTCTATATGACTGGCCTCTGTCTTGTCTTACCTAAACCCTGGAAAATGGCAGTCCATTAACTTTTTTTTTATTTTGTATCCCAGTCCTAAGGATTCATTCGTACTAGTCCAGACTAGATCAATCATGTCTTTTAATTTCAGTGGGCCTTATTAGCTTCTTTTTAGGTTAACAGTTTTGGAAATCTTCGTGTCTTACTAGATTTTCCGTCGCTGTTCTTTTGACCACACCAGCAATTCCTTTTTTGTATGTCCTTCTTTATAATTTGTCATGTCTTTTTCTTCAGTTGCTCCAAAGACAGATATGAGTAAGCAGACGCCTAATTGGCTGGGTGGGCCATATGCTGGGATAATTTTGAATGTCTGCCATGTCAAATTCTGCCTGAGAGTCGTCCCTTTAAGAGTATGTTGTTATAACTATGGATTGCTTTAAAGAGGGAGCGTATCAGTGTATTTTCTGTAAGAACTACTTGAGGAGTGTCAGGACTCCTGTCTGTGTGTTTGTGTTTGTCTCCCTTCCTCCACCAGGAGGCGCCTGGCTCTGGTCCGCCTTCTCACACACCTGCTGATGGTTTCCTCGTTAAGCTGCTGACTGCCACTACCTCGACGCCAGAGTGTTTGCCAGTTTTGGGTACTCTAGCCAAAATGAGTTTTAACATTGTTTGTCTTTTGCCTCTGGGCAGGAAGTCATCCTGCTAACAGGATTTTTTGGACCTTCTCTCCCTGGAAGGATCAACTGAGCTTTAAACTGAGCTGGGGTTCAAACAGGAGGTTTGGATCCACTTTCCCCAAGAGATCGTTTGAGCTTCACACTGAGAAAGGGATTCATCTCCATTACGACCCGTTCAAGTACCGCAGGAAATCTAAGTGGCAGTCAGTTTCTCTGTTCACCTACAAACAACCGCTTTCTGGTTAAACCCTGTTCCGCCCTCCACCGAATCAGACAAACACTGGAACAACAGCACACAGACAGGAGTCAAAGATTCAACAACTTCTCTGGAAACTACAGTCAGCAACCAAATCCTCTTTTCCAAGTTCACGAATCTATTTTACCACTGAGCCTGAACTAATCACTGTGCCTTCCCCTCACTTTTCAGTTCTGGTTGAGCAGTGTTCAGAGCAACACTTCTCTCTGCATCATCTCTTCAATAAAACCCGTTAAACCTTTTCCTCTGGTCTCCCTGTTTGGTTTTCTGCATTTGGGTCTGAACTTTAGAAAAAACATGGCAAGGAGCACTCAGAGGAATCGAAAGTATGGCTGCGTCTCAATTCGCAGGCTGCGTACTTGGTAGGACGCATTTTGAGGCCGGTGACGTCACAACGCTGCGCGGAGGCCGTCCCATTTGGCAAAAATTCTGAGGACGCTTAAAATGCAGCCTTAAAATGCGTCCTCCTTTTCCCCGAATTCTGAGGACGCATCGCTACCGTCCTTAGTGGCCTCGCCTCCCACTAGATTTCCCGAGGTGCTTTGCGCGCTTCTTTTTTTTTTTTTTAGTAGTTGAAGAAGAAGAAAAAGAAAGTCGGATTTTCTTCAAGTTACGGACAACCGAAAGCAGCAGCAGCGCCGACAGTAGAGCGGAGAACAC